TGCCCACAGGGAGATGTATTTTGCCCAAAGATCCCAAGCTTTAGATTGGGTTACTCAGAAGTCCCATTCCCATCTCTGGGTTCCTCTGGACTCTATTCTCACCACCACCTCGAGCCGTTTCCATGGAAACTGCTGGGCTCCTGCATCCCTTTCATCCTCCTTTCTGGGAAGCAAGGCCAGCTCTCTGGCACCCTGGCATCCAGGCCTGACCATTATAAAGACCAAAGAAACAATATCTGAAAGAAACATTTGCAGGCTGAGGAGGCACCAGGATGCGCTCTTGAGTTTCCTTTGAAGTTCTCCAAAATAACACCAGGTGCTCTGAGGAAGTCTGCCAGTCACTGCAGCCCACCGCGGGCTGCAAGGTGTTTGCCAGCCCATCTCTGGCATCTCAGAGTTGAATCTTCACTTCCTGGGGACCTGGGACAGAAGCCTCATGGGGGAAAATATGTTCACTGTGCCCCCCCAACTTGTGTCAGCAACAGCCCTCAGAGGGGACAGTCAGTGGACTGGGGATGATGGTACAAAAAGACCTAATCTGGCTCTTTTGGAAAAGAAAGGATCCAGTCACTGGTCGACACTGGTGGACACTGGGAGACACTATACAGAGCACTAGTAACTAGGGTCCAGGGAGTATTTTCTAGACATTGTCCAGGAACATGGCATCTGACATACAAAGACCCTGTTCCCAAAGAAGCCAAATTGATCTCAACATCCTACCCTGCTAGGCCCTGCTCGAGTACTGTCCCCTCCAAGCCTTGGTTTCCTTATCTTGAAGATAAGTCTAAATCTTATGTAGAACATCTAAGAGGGTAGCTGTGAGAGCCAACAATGTATGATATGTTACAACCACTGGTGAAGGTGCATACAGACACCAACATCCACTGCGGCCACATCCACCACCACCACCACCACCACCACATCATCATCACCATCATCATCATCATCATCATCATCATCATAGATGTCATAAAACTCAGACAGAAGTCCCGGAGGAACAACAAAACCTCAGACACTGGAAAATATGTGTGAGTTTCAGTTCACCGAGAAGCAAGCAGAGAAGCATCAGTTCTGTGACACTGCTTTAAGATAAACTCATTGGGTCTCCCTTGTGCTGACCTCGAACCATCTTCTCTCTGACACTGGGTAAGGCAGTCTATGCTGCTTCCCAGACCTCTGAGCAGTGCCAAGACTGGAAAACACACACACACACACACACACACATACACACACCTTTATACACACATACATACAGACACATACACACACTTACATACCCATATACACACACACATATACACACATACACACACCCTTACACACACATATACACATACATACACACACATATACACACATACACACACACACACACACACACACACATACATACACACAGTCTTTACATAAGCCCTAACTCTCAATCTGGGACCACGCATGCTCACAGTGCCCCTTTCCACAGCAGCCCCGGAATCTGGAGAGGTTTCCCACCTCAGAAGCACCAGAAAAGGAACCATACCCAGGTACCCCTTTCATGGTTGGTGGCCTCAGTTGGAGGTTGAGGCCATTTTGGGCAAGCTAAGCAAAGAAGAAGAGTCTGGCTCCCATGTTCCAGGTGTGGGCTAGGGCCAGTCTTCCAGAATGTCAAGAAAAGTTCCTATTACCTTGCGTTGATACCAGCATCTACTTTTTCTTTTTTTTTTTTTTTAAAGAGATAAGGTTGTTTTTTTCTTTTTTTTTTTAAGATTTATTTATTTATTTATTTATTATGAATACACTGTCGCTGTCTTCAGACACACCAGAAGAGGGCATCAGATCTCATTACAGATGGTTGTGAGCCACCATGTGGTTGCTGGGATTTGAACTCAGGACCTCTGGAAGAGCAGTCAGTGCTCTCAACCACTGAGCCATCTCTCCAGCCCCAGCATCTACTTTTTCATTTAGCCCTGATGACACACAGGTAGAGAACCCTTGACTACCTCATTTGTGGTCCTTATCTTGACTTTGTGAGACTGCTGGGGCTCTCAGAGTCTGAACCACCAACCAAAGAACATGCACAGGCTGGACCTAGGCCTCCTACACATATGTAGCAGATGTGCAGCTTGGTCTTCACGTGGGTCCTGAACAACTGGAGCAAGGGCTATCCCAAAAGCTGTTGCTTGTTCATGGGATATGTTCTTCTAGCTGGGCTGCCTTGCCTGCCTCCATGAGAGAGGATAAGCCTAGCTTCACAGAGACTTGATGTGACAGGGTGGAGGGATACTCAGGGGGCCCCCACCTGCTCAGAGGAGAAGGGGAGGGTGGATGGGGGAAGAATTGTGGGAGAGGGTGACTAGGAGGGGACAGTGAACAGGATGTAAAGTGAATAAGTAAAATAATAATAATAACAATAACAATAATAATATTCTTTTGAATAAAAAGAGACTATTTTATTATTACCAATGTCTTTATTTTTACTAAGGTTCAAAGAAGTTAAACGATCTATCCAAGGCCTCTCAATTAGTTATTTGACTTTAAAGTCTCACTCCAAGGCAGGGACTTCTGATATCTAAGTGACCTCAGAACTCAGTTTGAGCATAAAAGGGCTTGCTTAGACCCTTGGGTCCCCCATGGGCACATGACTGAGACAAGCAAAGATGGCCCCCAGAAACAGACTCTCACGGTGCCTCCAATGTAAACAATGGAGACTGTCCCAATGCAATATTTGAGGTCCAAAGTGGTCGGTCCTCGCAATCATACCCAGAGCCATCTTTCCCTGGCCTCAGCAGCCCTGGGAAGGAAGAAGTAGGCACTGCCTTGGATGTTTACAGATCCAGCAAACAGCTTCTGCCTGCAGACTCAGGCTGCAGGGGAACCAGAGGCAACTCAAAGGAACCCCAGCTGCAGGTGCCAGAGCCAAGAGGGCTGAAGCTAGCCCCTTGGGTGCCTAGGAGTTAAAAGCTGGTACTCTGGAAACAGCATCTGCCTCGTTTGCCCCTGAACCTCACTTTGGCATTCACCCTTCTAGGAGGAGCCAGTAGCAACCTCAGTGGGGGATGCAGAAGGCTAAGAGTTTGAATCTGGAACAGTATCCAAAGGCTTCTGTGTTAAAGGCTCGGTTTCCCGTGGGTCAGGTGTTCAGAGGTGGGATTTGGGGAAGGGAAAGTGGATGAGTGGTTAGGGCTACATTTATGGATTAATCCATGGACAGATTCATAATTGAATAGACTGGAAGGGGTAGAAACGGTAGGAGGGTGGGACTAGCTGGGAGGTAACAAGTCACTAGAGTGTGTAGTGGGGGGGAGGCTGTGTCTTATCCTGGGTATGCTGCCTCCTCTCCTTTCAACTCTCTCTCTCTCTCTCTCTCTTCTCACTTCTTGGCCACAAGATAAAGAATCTTCCTCCTTCACAGGCTCCCACCTGCCTGACTTTTCTGCCTATGACACCGTCCTTGAACAATGAACCAAAATACCCACAGACTGAGACCTCTAATAAACTGTTTACTCCTTAAACTTGACCTCCTCCGGGATTTTGTTACCATGGCAGAAAGCTGACCAGTGCTCCCTCCGATCAAGCAATCCTTGCCAAGTTCACCAGAGAGCATGAGCATAAAGGACAGGAACACAGGCTCATGTAATCCTCGGCACAGTCCAAGATGTCAATACCCACACTCCCATTCTACCTACCAGAAACGCCAAGGCACAAACAGGCTGTGTAAGCCAAAAACATTGCAGAGGTTTGCTGTTTGTTTGTTTGTTTGTTGTCTGCTTGATTAGGATCTAGGTCCAAGGAGCTTGATTCTAGAGCAACTGTTCTTTAAGACCGACCCTTGCCTTCTCAAGAGGCAAGACTCAAGTAAGAGGAGTCTAGCTTGGTCATTTCTCAGCTCTGGCAGCAAGGAACGCTGGGTTAAAGAAGCCTCAACAGTTAGCCTGGTTTTGCTGTTTCTTTCCTAGTTTGTTCTTGTAAACAACCTCAAACGCGTTGTGCCTGGACAACACATGAGCGGTTTTAGAACATGGGCTCTATGTTGCGCTTTGAGGTTAGCTCAGAGCTGCCCCAGCATGACCCCAGGAGACAGCCTGCTCCTCTCTGCCTCCCCCCCACTCCCCGCCCCCACCCTGGGTTCTCCTCTCCCCTAGCGACCTGCTTTAGATTCTCACCTCCTTCTCTTTGCTCTCCCTTCGAAGGCAGCTCCCCTAACACTCATTAGCACATGTTAATAAGCACCAATTCATGGCTCTGTCCTTCTTTTTAGGGGCGGGTGCTTGCTGTCGCTCCGAGGGTAAGGTGTCCAGGAGGCTAGCACGCACCGCAGACTTTTAGAGTAGGGCAGATATGGAAGGGAGGCTGGTTCTCTGAAGGGACCACACAGTGTGCTTGCTGTCTGTGGGGGCTTCTGTTTTGTCTTACAGAAACTCAGCACGTCTTTGGGTCAGAGTTTAATGCTATCTACCTGCAGGAGGCTCCTGTCTGCTACTTCCTGGACAAAGGTCTCAAAGTCGTGGGAGCATGCCCAGGATACGGGAGGGAGGGGTGGTTACTGCATAGGAGAATAGCTCCTCCACTCCCATCCGAATCCTCCCTGCATCTTTGCAGATTCCAGTTGTCCACCTAGGGTAAAACCTTGAGAACTCTGCTTTCCTGAAATTCTGGTCCCCTCGTGGGAGCACAAGGAAGTGAAGTTCGGGGCTCAAATCTTAGCTTTGCTACTTGTTAGTAATGCTATTGCTACGGCTAGAAACTGGGTGTGCTCAAGAAGGGAAGGCAGGAGCAGCCTCTCCCCATTTCCAGTTAAAAGCCTGCGGTGTCTCCGGAGGGCACCCAGGAGCCTCATTGAAGACTCTGTCCTGGTCCCCAGGAACCCTGGCAGAGAGGAGCCTTCCCCCCCCCCCCGACCCCCCTTGTGCAGCGCCGCGCCCTGCGCGATTCCCTGCGTGTGCGCGCCCCCTCCCGGCGGCCCAACGTGGTACAGCTCCGGACTGCATATAAAGGCAGCGTGGCGCGCAGCCCCAGCGAGAACCAGAGCCAAGCGGCACCGAGTGACAGCGCTGAGAGGCTTAAGATCTCCGGAGCGGCTCGCCATGGCTGGCCCGCAGCAGCAGCCCCCTTACCTGCACCTGGCCGAGCTGACTGCATCCCAGTTCCTGGAAATCTGGAAGCACTTTGATGCTGACGGTCAGTAAATCTCCCAACTTCTGGGCCCGTTGACCCCCGGGGACCTGAGATTGGCAGAGGTCAGGGGCATGGCTCAATGCGGACAGATATGCTTTTCCCCCAAGTGGTTTATTCTGTGTTAGAGACTGCTGGGGTCTTGAGTTCGGGGAAACGCCCGGCTGCCCTGGTGACAACTGTCAGTAAGTTTTCCCAATGCAGGGTGCTCAGGGTCCAGGTTCTGAGCAAGTCCGAGGGTTCACAGAGAAGAGGCCTGGGCAAAAAAAAAAAAAAAAAAAAGGCACCCAGGACACATTGCCCTGCCTCCTTCTTCACCTTTCCCTTCAGGGTAACGCCTTGCCTCTAGCCCCGTAGCCACAGGTCTCCAAACCTCACTCTCCCCGCCATGCTTCTTATCCCCACTACCAGTTACAGGGACTAGAGAAAGCTGAGCGTCCTGAAGGGAACCTGGGGGGAGGGGGCGGCTCCCCTATCCTGGTTGGCCAGGAGCAGGAGTAGAGAACGGATTGGGGGCTTTTTTTTTTTTAACAAACCTGGGCTTTATCCATTTTTTTTAACCCCACCAGTATGTGGGTTTCCCAACTACAGCCGAGTGGATGTGCTGGGAGGGTCCTGGTATTAGCCCCCACCTGCTGCCTGCTGGTGGTGTAGACTCCTGGGTACCCTGATCGGCTGTCTGTGGAAGGAGGGGGGAGGGCGGTGTCACACCCCAGTGACCAACACTTTGCTCTATGTGGTCTTCACAATGACCAACCCAAAAGTGAGGTCTGGGTAGATGGCTTTGGAGGTGGCTCCCAGACCTGAGATTCCAAGTGTCTACGGTCTAATCTGACTGAAGTATAAAAGAACACGCACACTACCCGTCCTTCACCTCTCCCCTGTCCCCATACCCAGCTTCTGATATTTCCTGAGACTTTTCTATCACTCAAAAAAAAAAAAAAAAAGAAAGAAAAGGGGGAAAAATTCAATTCACCCTCCAATGCCTGGCTAAGATGAACACCCAGAATGCACTGGCATCTCAGACCTGTTGGCAGGGTGGTGGCTTAGGGTGTTTATCCCGGGACTGAGAGGGAGGGGGCAGGAAATAGTCATATCAGTTAGCAAATCTCTATATTCTCTTCTTCCTCTTTGAATCCCCTTGGTAGTGTATGAAGGTGGGTGCACAGTGGTCCTCTGCTCCCAGTGCCTAACATATCGAGGAAAGGGTTAGTGTCTAAGGGTGCCAATGGGTGAAGTTCCAGGGGTTGAGGACTAGGTATCTGGATACTAGGGTGGGAGAGTGATCTGCTTGAGAATTACTGAAGGCGATGCCTCAGTTGCTCAATCTGAAAGATGGGGCCAAGGAGAGACTGTCTTTCTACCTCCCTGCTCTTGGTGCCCATCTCCCTGGATGGAAGGGCTCTGACAGTGTTACAGTCTCTCATCACTGCTTTGCACATGGGAGACACTTTGGCCGGTGTATCTGCACCAGAGACTTACGAGAGGCAAGGAAAGTTACCAAGCTGTCAAGGTTATACCACTGGCCTCCTGCTGGATGAGTCAGCTATAAACAGCCGACTCAACGTCTTACTTTTCCCTGGGGACCATCGGTGATCTTCCGGTCATTAGAAAAACCTTATGTTTAAGTCTGTTCTGAGACATCGACTTTCCTAAAAACAAAAACAAAAAACAAAAAAAACAAAAACAAACCAATTGCACCTTTTTGAATCCCACCCCGAGATGGTTCTTAGCAGAGACCCCTTGTGCAGTTGAAGAAGATGACACAGGACTTGGTTGGTGGTGCTGGCTTCCAGCTGTGGCTTATGTCCCCATTCAAGTGGACTTCCTACTAGGGTAGGAAGAGGGGATTTTTCTAGAGTTAGCCCACAAAAGATCCTCAGCCCTGCTTTGGAAGTGGTGACTAATTCTTTTTTATCCCAGAAAGGGACCCTTGGATACACTCCCCTTATGGAAGTCCCAAAGTGGGCCCAGAAATGAAGGCGATGTGGATCAGAAAGGTTATCTATGGACAAACTGGGATTCCTCTGAGGGATCTAGGAGTAAAGCCTGGGACTGCCTTTCTCTGTACCTTGGTGGCTTGGCCTCTTGAACACCCCAAGGCTGCAGATGAACCAGCACCTCATCACCTGACCCACCCTGGCTCTATCTGAGCTTTGCTCTCTCTTGCCTGTCCTGGCTTCTGTTTGCAACATAGGGATCTGTTGTAGAAAGTTTGTTACTCACTACCTTAAAGACCTCTGGGAGACTCCATAGCACACAGGGTCCCTAGAGGAAGCTCACTGGAGCCCAGTTAATCATAGACACCAGGGAGAGGAGCCACCTCACTCCTGGACTCTTGTAAACAAAGGAGACTTTAGAAAAGACCTTGATCCAGTGAGAGGAGGGCTGGGGGCTGGGGCTGGGAGTGGTGACCCTTAATCAGCCCCTTTCAAGTCAGAAAGAAGAGGCGCTACCTAGTCCTTCCATTCAAAAAGACTGTTCTCAAAGAAGTCATTAACAGTAGGGAATGAGGGGGCAGGTATTTAAAGTCAGGAGCTGGGCAGGAAAAGGCCAGGGATCTCTCCTAGCCTCCTAGACCACCCCAACGTTTCCTCATAGGTCACCAAGAGCAGGCAGTGGGAGCCATCAGTCTCTCTGATGCCACCCAGTGAGGTGGCAGTCAAACTCCCACACCCCATGCCTTAGTATGCTCTGAGGAGTTTCTACGTATCACCTTCATGCTTGGAGTGATATGGTATCTGAAGCCATCACTCTGTTGCTTCCTGGTCACTTTGTCAGCAGTTGGTTTACTCTGTAAGATCTAAGTGGCCATCAGGGCTGGTAGCACAGGCCTATACCCACCAGCTTGGGAAGAGGACTGCAGAGTCAAGGACTGCCTGGGTCACAGAATGAGTTTCGGGCCAGCCTGGGCAACTTAGTGAGACTCTGTCTCAAAATAAAAAGGAAGAAGAGGGGCTGGTGATGAAGCCTGGAGGCGTTCTGTTTATCTAAATGTTTATCTTTAGTGTAGCAGGGTGTAGGTTCAGTCATCAGCGACACAGTGAGGAAGGGGAGAGAGGGAGATGGAGAGGAAAAGACAGACAGACAGACAGACAGACACACAGACAGACAGACAGAGGGAGAGAGGGAGGGAGGGAGAGAGAGAGAGAGAGAGAGAGAGAGAGAGAGAGAGAGAGAGAGAGATCCAGGAGGCTGAGATATGGATGCCCAAGTCAGAGTGTACATACCATCCCTGTGTAGTTCTGACAGACCTTACCAGGCTCCTAGTTCAGTGATAACCTGTGAGGAGCCAAGCTGCGGCTCAGCAGAGAAATAAAGGAGTTCCTGACAACCTTCCAGAAGCAATCAGAATGCAGAAGGGAAAGAGGAGCAAGCAGACATTCATGGGCCAAGAGAGGCAGCACTTGATCCAGGCTTCCATCCTAAATACATAGAAAGGTACAAACAAGAGAGCCTGTTAAAGGAGTCACTTGAAAGTAAACAACATCAACAAAAATGGATTCTAGTCAGCCCCATTGTAGGACAGCACACAGCCATCAAAGCGAGATCAAGTCTATGCACACACGGGAAAATGTCACGTAAGACGATAGCAAAACACAAGGTAAGCTGAGTTTTCTATGTAAGAAGGAAAATAATTTTACAGGCATCGTCTTTTCCCAGAAGAATGTACATCTAGCTACAGGTACGGGGATCTACTCAGAGTCTTCTGGGCTTTGTCCACTTTCAAATAGCCTTGGTCGGCAAGCTTCTCAAAGTCTTTTAGAAGGACTAAGCCTTGTTCCTTATCTGTGTGGGACTCAGATTCCCCCCTACACTGAGGACTTTGAAAGTTAATAATGAAAAAGGACCATACCATATCGAGGAGAGCTCTGCCAGGATCTTTTCCACCTAAACCCAGTGGTTCGAACTGAGTGTCCTGCAAATGACACACCACCCAGGGGGCCAGACCCAAGTACCCAGACAGGCCTTCCCAGAGTCCTTCACATTGCTAGCTCTGTTTCTAGTAGAGGGAAGAGGGGTGGTGGGTGAGGCCCTGAATTCCATACTTAGCAACACACACACACGTGCATGCACACATAGGTATATGTGTGTGCCATACACCATACATACACACCACACCCTACACATATATATACCCCATACCACACATCACACACACACATACACACCACACACACGTACACATCACACACATACACACCACACATATACATACCACACACACATACCATACACACACCACACCACATACACACTACACACACCACAGACATACTACACACACCACATACACACACACACAACACATACACACACCATGCACACACAACACATGCACACACCATACCATACATATACATCCTATACCACACATCACACACACCACACACACAAGCCACACATCACACACACATGCATACCACACCACATACATATACCACACATACACCACATATCACACATCACACATATATACCCCATACCACACATCACACACGCATACACACACACACTAAATGACAGCTCATAGGACCTTA